TTTAAATAATATATTTTTTATGCTTAAATATAACAATATATGAATAACACTATTTATGATTTTCAATAACGTTGTTACATGATGTTAAACGAATTGACATAAGAAAAATTTTATGTATATAATAGAATTGAAGTCATATAATTCATTTATCCATATTTTTAAGTGTATTAAGTATCCGATAACCTTGAACAATATGATACTTAAGAAGAATCCATAAAAAGTTTAAATTTTATAAGTTTTTTAAAATACTTTTAATAATTCAAATATAAAATAAGTAAATAATTTTATTAGAAAAAGAAGTTTAATAATTTTTTGATATGTTATAGAACACAAAGTGAACAATTTTTTTCTACGTATATAACTTTTATTTTCGAAATATTTGCAAAAACAATTACTAAATATATTACATAGAATTTTATTTATATATATAAGTAAGAACGTAAGCATGCGACCGCCATTTATCTTTTAATATAAACATATCAAATAACCGGTTAAAAAACTACTTTCTCATGAATTGTGATCTTTGAGATAATGATGCATAGATATTGAAAGATGTGAAAACTTTTTACAGAAAGATTTATTACAATAACAAACTCAAAAATTTGAATTTAACTGTTGAATTTGATCGTTTTCGATTATTTTGATATTGCAATTCATTGCTACTGATTTTGATGAAATTTTGTGCATATATACAATATATTTAAATCTATGAAAGACATATATAAAATTTCTTTTTAAAGTTAGATAAATAAAATCTTAATCTTTATTTTTTTCATTTTGATTAATAACAATTTTTTTTATACAATATTTAGTAAATTAATCCTTTTAACGTCTCAAAAGAATTCAAATTATCCGATCTAATTTCAAAGAAATTATTCTGTTTCAAATGGTATCCGATTATTATTATTATTAATCATTGTGTTTCAATATCGTTAAAATCAATGAAAAATCTTCTTTTCTAATTACCGTATATATTTATTAGACAAGATTTATTTTCTTTCTCTCTTACCTTCCATTTTTTTTTTTTTTTCAATTTCTTTCTGCTTCCCAGTTTTGCCAGCGTTTTACGTAACCATCATCGAGAAAGTTTATCTCGTGAGGAGAACGTCTCGAAGTATATTGACGTTGCACACGAGGCAAGCCAAGCGAAACGTGTAATCAGCGTATATATGCTCATCGCGAGTAATCACACCTCTAATAGACATCCTAGATTCAGTCTCGATTAATCGATCAACAGCGGCGTAACGACGCGTGTTTTATATCGAGATAATGACGACAGGCTAATGACGGGCTCATTAACGAGACTCGATATAAAATGGTTCCGTTTAACATCAGATATTCCGCTAACAGGAAGTAGGTCGGTAATACGCGCTCTGGGTATCTTCTCGTATATCTCTCTTGTTTGGGCAGACAGAGAGGTACACCAAGTGGAAAGTGCAACAGAGACGGGAATAAAGAGCCGTTGCCAATGTCTGATTAGCTTTTCTATTTATGAGCCCGTGGCGAACAACGCGACGTGCGAAACGCCATTAAAACAGCATCGCGTATTAAAAACCCGATCGTTCGTTCACGGTTGTCGACGACGTTGCATTTCGTGCTCGATAACATGACAATTTTCACGATCTATTCATATTTTATTAATAGTTTCTGAATTTTTTACAAGCAAACTATTTCGAGTTTAACCGTAGAAAAATGTATTAGTTGGCCAAAAAGCTATTTTAATAAATGGATATATATTTTGAAATATAATTAATTTCATTTTAAATTGCATATTCATTACATAATCTAACTGCTTCCAAGCTTGTTTTCTATATTTAAAGAAAAAGAAAGAGCACGATTTCGTTAACAATAATTGCAGGATTGAGAATCATAATAATATAAATCGATAGAAAATGAAACTATGCTATAATTTCACATTACTTTAACTTAACGTGTACTTTAACTTAAAGTTATTTAAATATATATATATTAGTTAGGTATTAATTAAAGCCAACGCAATACTGAAAGCTAATTTTTTCTTAAATAATTATTTTTCAATTCTTTTTAAAGTTCAGTATTTTTAAAGTTCTCAAAATAATTTTCATGTGATTTATGTTAATATAATTCTCAATCTCAATTATTCGTTTGATATCGATTTCAAAATCGAAAGGAATATTTTCGTCATTTACTATATTATTTGTTAAATTACTTCCGAAAAAATTGCTCTGCAAGCTCATAAAAAATTTTCTGATATGTAGATATCAAAAACTATGTTAAATCAAAAACTATGTTTTATTAAATTTCAATCTGAAAATTTTGATATTAAATATGATATTTTTGCAAAATATTTTGAATGGTGAAATTTATTAATAAGAAATCAAATTATTCTTAGAATCGTTTTTTTGCCGAAAAAGATAAGAATTCTTTTGAATCATGATGAGAATCACGAAGATTGTTTAAAAGATAATTGAAAAGATAATCGAAATAAATTTTTGTTTATCATAAAAAATTCACTTTTTATTTATTTAAAAAAAATAATGTGCAAAAATGAATCTCTTTCAATTTTAACCTAACCTAACACAACGGATGAAAAATATAAATAAGTTGGAAGAGGTTCGAATCGAAGAGATAAATCTCTCGTGGAAAGATTTTGCGTTGCAAAATCGCAATATTGCTTTTGAGATCGAAATTATATTTTATTGAATGTCTTGCTTTGCAATTTTCCAAATCTTCTATGTGTAAACGGAGTTTGGCTCGGTTATGATGAGTGCCAGACTTCACGCGAACGAATTCGACTCGCGAAATGACTTCATCTTAATAAATTACGGCTTTGGGTAAACCTTACAAACGGCTTCAAAAAGATTCCCAGAAAGGCCGCGTGTATCGCGCTATTTCCGGACAATTATTTCTCTGGCGGCCCTTTCGGACCGAGGAATAACTCTTCTTTTTACTACTGTCTTATTCTATGTTTGTGCCATTAGACAATTCGAACATCTTTTGTATCTTTTCACTTTCTCCATGCAATTTCTTTTTTGCGCATGGCAATAAATGAATTGAAATAAATCATCGATTTAATAGTATATTATATGGGATAAACGATTACTGTGCCTCTCTCCCGTTACCGGACAGTCAATTACTTTTTTAAAAATTAGAAAGGAAATATGAAATTACTATTAAATTACTGCAATATCTATAAGATAAAATTTATAGCTTTTTTTTAAATATAGAAAATATTTCCGCAAAATATTATAAAAAATTTCATTGCATTATTACGATATAAAAAGTTAAAGAAATTTAATTTCTATATTATGAATAATTAAAAATAAATAAACAATTTATTGTTCTTATATGTCAAAACATTATTATCAGGAATTAAAAAGTTTATAGCATCGGATAAATGCGTAATAAATCGGATAAAGATTTTGTTTGTATATTTTGATTAATTATTTCTTTCATTTTTTTTTTTTTTTAACAATTTGTTCAGGAAAAAGATAGCCAATAATTGACTCCTTACGTGTCTCAATATAAAAGGAATTAAATTATTACTTTCAAATTATTAAAGAAAAATCATCACTAAAAGTGTTCGTTAAAATGGATTGTTTACTTATTTATTTACCATAGTAATTTTATTTGACATATAATTAATTTGACTTACCCCTCATTTTGTACTATTGAAAAAGGAAATGATTCGGTTTATGGGATCAGGAACAGGATACAATTATTCTTCGTGTTTATTTTAAATGTCTCCATTTATTTCGACTCACTATACACGCTACTAAGATTCTGTTCATACACACGCACTCTCGGCTCTCATTTCACGCGTCTATCACCTCGCAAATCATCAAGCGCGATACGGATTTACATCTTACGCGATCATAAAGCTCACTAATTAAAATGATGACCAGGTATATTGCAGTGTCCCATCTATGTATCACTTATATGTCTCTTTTCATTTATTTACTTAAGTATTTATTTTTCTTCTTTTGTCTCTCGTTCATTTTAATCATACATGACGACTCTATCTCGTTTATGCGTAATATCGAGGGGGATGAACGATGTAATATATGTATATATATATATATATATATAGCTTATGTACAATGACGAATGCCTCGCGATAGCACTCTATTATAATTTATATGCTATAATATTTACTTAATAACTTACATAAATCATCGATGCTTCTTCTGGATCACTTTTAGATTTTTATTCATCGCGATTCTTTTCTCTCGTCTTTCCGCAAATAAATACAATATGATACAGGTGTCCGAAGAATAGTCGTCCTACGTATTCGTTAAAGGAAACATGAAATCCACTTAACATTTTGGTCAGAACACGTATTTCTCTTTCTTTCGTGTAACATAGAATTTCGCCTCATTTATATCTTCCGTCTGACATCGCCTCGAGATAAAAATTTGTGTAAAATGGCTGAGAACACGGCTGATCCGATCCTGATTTTAACATCGAAAATGTCGTTCGATGGATCGAAAGTAGACGAGGGCCAGCTGTGAATATATTTGGCAGTCTTTAATTTACAAACATTTAAAAAGATTCATTTTAGTATCCTCACCTCGCCATATCACGATCACTTTCAATCGCCTCATCAACGTCGCTTATCATCCGTCAGACTTTTGCAGACTCTCTCAGTCTTTGTACATCTTCTCGACATCAAGGATAACCGACAGAAATCAATGCGTAATTTCTATGAACGAATTCCGCCTATTTCACTGTTTCATTGAAACGGTTTCTCCTTTCGTTCTCCGCGATATATTGTCGAAGAAGACGCTTTCTTTGTACTATGCCTAGTCGTATCCTCCATCTCTATCCACAATTTTCTATAATGTATCAAATATTTCCAAAAAACACGTTGTCACAATGATCACAATTCCCATATTTTCCCCAATATTATACTCGTAATATCGTACCAAGTATACTACGGAAAACAGAACTACGAAAATCCTAACCTCAAAACCTCATTGAGTCGATTCACGTAGAAAAAAACAAGTATGACTTCACTTTTGCGTAATTTTATACGATCGCATTATAGAAAACGTTTACTACGATCGACAAGCGATCTCTCTAGATCAATAGACAGTTTTTCCTGTGTAAGCCTCTAATTTTAAGAAATCACGATTTTCCCTCAACGACGAGCATCGAGGCGTCTCGTTCCCTACGACTTCTCGTCCATGCTCGGCAAGGGTCGTTTCTTTAGGATTCCAAGATCTTGAACGTTCTCTAAAAATGTCTTGTGATGTTGAGCGACTAACAGAGGATTCACTGTCTGCACGTCCTTTTTCAACTCTTCCATGTCTCTTTTGAGCTTTGCTCGCCTATTCTGGAACCACGTGATCACCTGAGCGTTGCTCAATCCTAATTGCGCAGCAATTTCGTCCCTATCGGCCGGACTCAAATACTTCTGGTACAGGAATCGTTTCTCCAACTCGAAGATTTGCTGATTCGTAAATGCTGTTCGACTCTTGCGCTTCTTCTTCGGTTGCTGCCGGTTGTTAAACAAGTTCAAGTGATTTGCTTGTTCTGCAACAGAGATAATTGAACACGATTAGATGAGATTATTTGTTGAACAGGTTTGACATGTTTGTCAAAAGCTAATAAAATTGATTTCTATTGCAGTTCTTATTGAATATACAAACATCTATTTGAATTTGAATATAATTAAATTCTATTTGCATGAAACTATTATATCTTTCAATATATATGTATTTCTAATATAATCTATAATCTAATCTAATCTAATCAAATTTTTCATATATGTATATATATTTAATATTATTTAATATTAAATTATTTAATATTTAACCTTCATTTCTTTAACTTTTTTTTATAAAAATTATAAAAATTTAATTTTGTATAAAAATCCATATTTAATCAACTGATATTCATGTTAGATAAAACGAAACGGAGACAGTGACGAATATGAAGCGATAATTCTGGAATTATAGTTTCGCTTCGTCTAATACAAACTTTAATTCATCATAATTTAATAAATAAATTCTAAATTAAAATTTTCTTTATATTTTCAATGTCAACTTATGTATATATGTAACGATAATAATTTATATATATTATATTATGTTTCGATATCAACTTTTGTGTTTGTTTGAATTTTAGAATCGATTAATGTCCTACAAATTTATATAAATGTGTAACTAACATATAATATTCTTATATAATTCAAGGATTCGTTTAAATTTTTCTCATCAGATCCTCATATGATTTTTCATTCAATTAATAGTAGTTTATGTTAATATCAAACAATTTCATAAAATAAAAAAGCTTCTTATTTATGAAATCACGAAAAAAAAATAGGATCAGACTCAAATTTCAATCGGATATTTGAGTAAATATTTATATTATGTCCGATTTTTGAATCTGAGTTCGGATTAATGATGAACATCTTTTCCTTCTCGGATATCCATATAGTAAAAGCTCCAATTACCATTCATGAAGAGTTTAAAATTCAAAAAAGGAATTGGTTATGTGGAAATTTCCACATTTCTTATCCCCGCGGCTCAAGGTACATGATTATGGAAACGTAAGCGAAGAAATAAAATAGAAACAATCGATTCGAGGCATGGATAACTTCTTATCGATGATTCCTATCTGGTAGGATGATAATAATTTCTGTTTCATATCAATAAATATGAATAATAATCGTAATAATGATAACAAATTTTTCAACTATGAAAAGCTGACAATTTGTGTTACAGAATGATCCTATCATTGTTTTTTACATTCTAAAAATAATTTCAAACTCTTTATTGTCGTGATAAATCGAATCTATGAATCAGTCCAACGCCTGAGAGACCATAAATAGGAACTCGAAGGTCGTTTCTTTCCACTTTTTTTTCCATGTTCTTTCTAATATCGAAATTTCTTAATCTCTGAACGAGAGAGCTAAAGGAGAAATGCAAAACGAATCGGACATCCTCGGCGTGTTTGAATAGATCCTAGAACAGGGTCCGCCACGGCATTGCTCCACTCCATAGCCACAAATCAGATGCATTTTCGTGGGTAAGGGTCTCTCCATAAAAATCGTATTACCTATTCGTTACGGTGTTCAGACGACGGAATTCCAACGAAGCTTCTCATCTACCGGATGTTGAAATTTTTGTCGCTTTTTAGTGGTTGTATAACATGGAAAACGAGTTGAATTTAATAGATACTTTATCGAATCTTATAAGATAATTATTTTAGTACATATTCGAATTGTAAAGGAAATTTTAGAAATATGAAACATTATAGTTTTAGAATACATAGTGATAACATCTTTAATAATGATTGAAACTTGAACTAATATGATAAATTTTAATTACTTATTTATTTATTTTATACATTAATGATAAATTTGAAAAAAAAAGAAAAACTTAAGGAAACTGAAATTTGTTATGCTTATTATTAGAATGAATTTACATATTACATTACATGATATTACGAATTTATGTGATTATTACTACATTATATGATTATTTTATTTATTTGATGCTGTTAAAACTTGTTTCTTAATATTTAATGCAATTTTATAATTAATCTTATTAAAAAATTACATCGGATATTTATTAGTTCAATTTTATTACTTTTTTGCTTGATTCTGTCTTAAAAAAAATTCAGTTTCTTAATTTCATCTTTATATTTATGCAACACATTTTACCTAAAATTTCTTATAATTCAATTAAGATAAATTTATATAAATAAATTTAATATTATATTATATTATAATAATTATAGATAAATTTGAATTTTTTACTTTTTCTAAATTATGAGAAAATTTTGTTTTAATCTAGAAAAAATAAATAATTTACTTCTTAAGATTAATAAATATTTATATTTATATATAAACATATATATATATATATATATATTTATACACCTCTTTTGGTATAAAATTACGTTTTATTTTTTTATTTATAGCTATTATTTGAGATTCTTTATATTAAAGAACAAAAAATATCTCTTACTTTCTACAGTGTCATAATGTTTTGAATTATTACCGAACGGAAATTACAAAAATCAAAAAAATGAGCAATGTTTTAATTTAAATACAACTATCATTTATATATCCTACTATCTTATTATCGATTAAAATCATGTCACCCATTTTGAAACAACCTGTACTTAAACGATAAAGTCGTTTGAACAGTTGATCGTGCGCTCGTTTTCAGCGACACACTCGCAATCCTTTTTTTTGCCCATCTCGATCAATTCCTCGAGCTTGGCAGAGGAAGCCGAACGCGGCGGGAAACAGTGGCGAAATTAGCGACGGCCGTTTTCGCGATGGCGTTAGCCATTAGGAAATAATCGAACCGAGTGACGAAAAAGAGAGGCGGCCGATGAGTCGTGGACAAGGTAGCCGTGGAGTCCCTGCAGGATCAAAGAATGCCGCCATCGGTCACACCTGCGCAACCCGAGTGTACAGTCCAGGTTAAAAACTACAACGTTGATCGATCTTGCCTTCGTGCACGTTCACCTCAAGGATGCAACGCTTTCTGTCATTCTTTGGCACACGTTTAAACGCTCGATCGCGATATCTTTTGCCTTCGTTCTTCAATTCTTCTTATCTTCGTATTGCTCTTATTCACCAAAAATCACTAGTCATAAGCGGACAGAACGCTTTTGTGTACGTTGATTTATCGGCGTGATGTAATAAATCGGTGATTAATTGGTGAGAAATCGGGAATTTTAATAGAATGATCTTTAATCCTTTATCTACGGAAAATTGATCTCCGGATAAATCATCAAGGAATCTCAAACAATATGTGATTTGTCTGTAAAAAAAGAATAATAATATAGTCGAAACTTCATAATTTAAATCTCTATATATAATTCGGAAGTCTTTATATCTAAGATTAATTTTATTTATTACACTTCTGTTCTATTACGAAAATTTTTTTAAAGTTGAAATAAAATAAATTTACATTAACTCAAATTATTTGCTACATGTTTAGATGCGTTATTTTATCTCGTATTCAACTTAACCTCTCTTCAAGATGAAATTAACTTCTATAGATTTTCCATCATTGTCTTTATCTTTATAATTCGAACTAATATCTATCAATAATTAATCAATACTCTCTCTTTTCTTTCAACTTTTAGAATTTACTATCTGGAAACAAAATGATTTTTTTTATTTAAATCCTTGGAAAATCCGATTGGAAAAATATATAACCTTTATGTAAAGTTATATGATATATAATAATATATATAATTCTATTATATATAACTTACTTGAAAATATCTAAGTGGATAATGATGGATAAAACAAAATTTCCATAAGATATTCAGATTCTTCCTTTAAGATTCAAATTACTGGCTCGATTCCACTTAAGAACCCGGAAATATGGGGACGATCTCAAGGAAGACACCATGATTTCGATCCTTTAATTATAAATTACCGAGGTAATGACTTTTAGTCTTCATCGATGCTGGTTATTCATTCGAATATCTACTTACTTTCGCCGCCACGATATCGACACCTATCAAGCAAGATAATATCTATTACAACGCCTATTACCCACTTTCGTAACGGTTTCTCTCAAGTACGGAAGGAGATGGCGGATTTACGCGCAAACTTGCACCTCGTTCGGATTTTTTGGTTGAATCGACGCTTGTTTTTCTTTCTAGCGAAATAGACATGTTCAACCACTTTTTCAAACCATGCCCGGAAACGACTTAATTATCGCGGATAGCAAACTGTTTAGCGGTTACCGAAAGTGTTATTACTTTGCCGTAAACTATACAGATTCACCGTTTTAATGCCTTCAATGATCGAGCCCGTTTTTCTTATCTACAATCTTCTTTATACTTTTTTTCTCTTCCTTCGAGAACACTCTTCTCAATAACCAATCCAAGCAATTGTCTAATTGTACGCGTCTAACACGCCACCTCGCTACAAGTGTTGGAACTAATTACGCTTGTACCAGCTCGTTTACCTCGATAATTACCATCGTATCGTTGCTACTTTATCATTTGATGGCCGTTTAAGGTGAAACTGCCGCAAAAATAGTTCTGTAACCATCGTAAGAGGTTTTGCCTCGGTTTATGAGCTCGCTTCTTGTGTCGTGCTTGTCGTTTCCCATTTGCTCAATCCTCTTTTCCATTTTGCTCTCATCGTTCGAACGAAACGTTACAGACCCGGTTTTCTTTTTGAGAAACGCGTTTCAACCGGGAAAAGTGGACGATAATTTTGTCATCGTCCACTTTGTCTCTAGCGCAGGCACGAATCTCTTTCGAAGCGGAATCCAGAAATACGATGGCGGGCGGCGCGGTGGTCGAGGAAAGAGAAGCGGAGGCTGAAACGGCTACATAGAAGTGACGAAGAACGGAAGAAACGAGAGAGCTCGCCGAGATATTAGTTTCTGCGGTCGACTCGCCGCGGAGATTTAATTCGTTTGATGTTCACGAATCCGCCGCTTCGGCTGTCCTTTCGCAATCCTTCTCTTTCTCTGCGTCTTGCTGCTGATTTTGCGATCCCTCTTCCTCGCGAATTTTCTCACCTTTCTTCGCGATTATGCAGTACT